GAAAAAGAGAAGGGAGTTTTTCCCAGTCGCCTAACCAACAATCCCGCAGAATAAATTAATTCACTTTATGTCTGTTTGTGGGACATTCCTGTGTGTAAACTGGCTGTTGCCTTTTACTACAAATACACTGTCAATACACTTCACTTTAAATCTTGTGAGCACTTTGAGACGTTTTGACAGTGTGATAAGGTACAACACCAAATGCAGTAAACTCCTTATAACTCATCACTCCAAGGAAAACAGGCTCAGCAACTAGTTATCCAGAATGGCTCATTAGGCATAGGTCCTCCTGGGCCTGAAGAGGGCACTGTGACTATTGTGGACACTTGGCAGAGGTTGAGTATGCATGCTGAAATGGATTGCAGAGGGCTCTGATCTATTGGAGGGCCATGTCATAGTCTATCTTGTCATAGGATAAGGCAGGAGGCGGAGCAGCCGGCTGTCCAATAGACCAGAAGCCTCTGCGATTCTTCGGAACATGAGTGCCCAACCTCCACCTAGCACCCGCCCAAGTCACAGGATAGGGCAGGAGGCCTCTGTGATGCAAGACGCCATCTTATAAGACTAGTTATCAATCTTACATTGTAAGTACATACAAGAATTTCTAGAATGCGGCTAGTTGCATATTAAACAGAGTGACAAACAACGAGGAGTCCCATATTAGCATTTTGCATGGGAAATAGACATTGACAGTATGGCTATGTAAGTGGTAGTGACTAGTTAAGCCAGTGACTTGTTATCAGGAGATTACTGTACAAGGATTATTATTATCGCTCTCTGCTTCAGGATTCCAAAGATCCACAACTGATTTGTTCCTAATAGGCTTAGTCACAATTTTCCAACACCTTTGCGGGTTTGTATCACATGGTATCAGTCTATGACTGTGCTCTTCCAAAGGCCAATCCTGTATGTGATTCACACAATTGTCTGATTACATGAATCATAAGACATAAAGAGATCAACAGAGCATTTTTGTTGCAATTTTCAGTATTAAGTTATGCATCAAGTTTAGAATGATGACGCCTTTACATTGATGTTAGCCAGTGAATTTTCAGTGTGTTTCCTTATTTTTTTGTGTGCAATGTAGCACATCATACACTACTGAAAATCCTACAATACCATAGAACGTCTGTTGCCGTGACAATTGTTCCTGTCTTTTTTGGAGAAAAATGAATGAAGCATGAATCACCTCAATCACCTCCTGAATACAAATGGACTTTGTGTTCTGAGTAATGCCAGTGTAATCTCCACTGGGATCTTGGGAACAAAACTCAACTCAACTGTGACTTTTGCTTGCACAGGTAAAAGTGCTGAGATTGACTGTTTCAGTCCATATCTAGAACAATCAACACAAGTCACTGTGACAACTTCTTTCCTCAGTCCAAGCTCCTCACAGATTGTTCTTCACAGAGACCGAGATGATTCCTTCTTGGCGGATGCGACCAAGGATTTGAAGCTCATCTGATCAGTTCTTCCTCCATTCTGCAGTTCATTTACACAGAGGACAATAATTCTGACTATAGCAAATTAGATTCTATGTGATTTTTAAAATATGCTCTCATTGGATCCCAGTTTCGTATGCAGTGAAAGGTTTAGACATGGTGGATAACTTGACTAATAATGAGCTGACTATTAATGAGCTAAATTGTTGCATTTCACCACCATGCAGATTATTTTTTTCACCTACATAAACATGATGAAGGATTGAGTCTGCCAATCCTGTTATGTGCCCGACTTCCAATTTCCCACCCTCTCCAATTGTTTTATCTTTGACTCACACTGACATGTGGCTTATTATTATACCTTCCGAGTCATAGGAAATTGAAAGAGAGATCTTTTTCACTCCTATTAGTAGAACAACAGGAGCTGTGCCATTAAAGCAAAGAGAATGAGCTATTATGACAGTATTATCTTTGTAAACATACAGATCTCAATACAGACGGGCCGAGACTACTTTATTTCACAGTTCCCTTGAAAGAAAATATATTACTTAATTTTATTTTAGATATGAAATCTTTTTAATAATTGCAGATGCTTAACAGATGTTTGATATAAACAGAACTGCGCTTTTAGTAATCTGACTAGATTACTGGATTGGTAAAGTGTGGATCAGCTAATGAATTTACTTAAAGGGAACATTTCCTCTGGCACTAATTAATACCACATACATTCAACAATGTTTATGTAATAGGAACTGACGGATAAAGGGATCATTGTATTAAGCATGTGGAAGACATTGAGAGCTTCTATCATACCTGATTACTAATATAGGCACACAGCTCATTCAGTAAATCTGAAGGATCTAGGTTTAGATGTTTATTATCTTGGGCTCCAGTGGAACTGTGATCATCCATCTCAGATGAGGTAAGTGCTTCAGGAATTGATAGAGGTGGTATCCAATGTATATATTTTTTTAAGTCAGCCAGGTGTCTGACACATGCATAAACCCACCACCATGCTTAAGAGGACCGAAGCAATACTGAAAGTACTGCATATGTACGTCATTCATGAAATCTTCCTGTATCTGAAATGGAATGCATACTCTCTCCCTGGAGGGACCCACCCTGCTTACCTAATTCTGGAGAGTATCAGACACAGGGTGGCAAGAGCCAAGGGTTGGGTACCTCAGATTGTGTGGTGGGTTTTTCTTGGAGTTTAACATAGTTTGTTAAAGTACTGTCTTTAGAGAGTACCGTCTAGCAAGGTTCCCGCTGCTTGCCCACCATGTCCAGTACTGTCTAGCAAGCTTGCTGCTGTTCAACCATTCTACCAAATAGGGCTTTGGCTTGCAGAGTTAACAGGAACTGAGTGGGAAGAATCTTTCCTGCTCCCAGTACTCCTTGTCTGTCCCTCTAAGCCCTGATAATAATAATAATAATAATGATGAGCAAGCTGGCTGGTCTGTCATCAGCAGTGCCCTGGAGACCTGCCTGATCCAGGACCTGAGCTCCCTGATTACCCCTTTACCCCTCAGAAGGACGCCTATGTATAGTCGACTTATAGGAACACTGCTCCAATTTGATCTAATTTCAGAGTTGGGTTACCTCCAATTTGCATGGCGTGCTTCCAGTTATCATAAAGAATTACCACTCAGATTTCTTAATGAAGATATACCATTAACAAATAATGCAAAATGAATCTCCAAATTCCAGGCATATAGCAATTAACAAGGCAAGGAAAAGTACCGATATATTACTTTTATTCTGAAGTGTAACATTTGAGCTATAGAATTTATTTAGGATTTGCGCAGTGCATTTTTGTTGAAGTTCACTTCTTTAAAGAATTTGCATATATTTTGATGATCTTTATTTAATTTTTTTGTTCCTTCGCTTCCTCCTATTCCCTCAGTTTGTTAACCACTTCCTTCCCACCTGATCTACAAATGACCAGGCTGCAAACAGCAAGACTATCCTTGAACAGAAATCTTCTCTTCACCTCAACTATGTGTTTTTTTCCATGGAGTCACAATATCTAGATTTGTCCAATCTCTTTCTGACATATATTAATTATTTGATTTAAATTGTTTGATAGCATTTAAAACAGTAAAACAGTTGAGTAATAAATATGAGATCTGGACAAATGTTGCCCTGACTCAGTTGGTAGCACTCTCACCTCTGAGGCCTCCACGGTCTCGCTCCCCCCTACCTTTGCGACCTCCTAACCCCTACCATCCTGTTCACTCCCTCCACTTAGACTAAGGGCTCCAGCCTGCTTCACGTTTCCCACCTTGCTCGCCCCACTATTGGCGGGCGAGCCTTCCGCCACTCTGCCCTCACCCTCTGGAACTCCACTCCACAGTTCCTCCATCTCACCCCCTCCCTTGCCACCTCCAAGACCCATCTCAAGACCCTTCTCTTCGACCGTGCTTTCGATCTCCCTGCTTCCCCCTCTTCCCTCTATCCTCCCCCACCGCAACCCCCAGATCGGGTCCGTAACTCTGTCTGTCCAGCGCCTTGGGACATCCCCCCAACGTGAAAGGCACTTTACAAATATAATTTTGTTGTTGTTGTTGAGTCAGAAGGTTCTGAGTTCAAGCCCTACATTGGGGCTTTGAGATCACAGACTGCATGACACTCTAGTGCAGTGCTGGAGGTGTGCTGCACTATTGGAGCTACCATCCTCGATAAGATGGTAAACCTAGATCACTTTTGTGCCTTCAGATGGACATTAAAGATCCCATAGCACTATTGAAAAAGAGAAGGATTTCTATTGGTATCTTGGCCAACAATCCTCCAGATAGAATTGGTAATTCACTTGACAGCTGTTTGTGGGACATCACTGTGTGAAAATTAACTGCCTCGTTCACCTACAAAATACACACTACACTTTACAATAATTCCTGTGAAGTGGTTTGAGATGTCTCAATGATGAGATAAGCCGCTATGCAAATGCAAGGAATGAATGCTTCATGAAATGCTCAAACTGGCTCAAAGTTTATAAATTATGACTATATCAATGTAGCCTGTGAAAAGGATTCAAAGGGAATCCCACATCTTTTACATTAAATAAATACATAAATAAATGAATAAAATAAATAAATACATTTTACATTGGTCATTAATTATAAAATTAAGGCCATCTGTAATTTCCTATTGACACATATTTACACATAGATTACACATCCTGCAAATTAGACCCCATATGTAGAGTTTAAATAAAACATGATCTCCAAAGAGGTAGACTACATCTTAAATCCTTTTTAAAATAACGACTGCAGGTAGCAGTGGATCTCACATGCAGTTGATTTCTAGATTTAAAGAAGATTCATTAAATAGTACAATCTTGAAAATTGACATTTAAGAGTGTTTCAATGATTGCACAGTCTGTTTCCAAATACCAACCAAAGGAACAAAGAGTAAAGTAAAAATCAGCATTCAATATTGTTTGCAGCTCAGTCTTACACTGAAATTTTGCCTTTGTGCCACACAGTACTTGTTAAATTTATACAATGTTTTGGTTGCAATACCTTTTTGTACTCAGTATGAGCATTTCTTTAACAGGTACGGTTTTGGGATGCTTGATGCTGGACGATTAGTGAAGAAAGCTCTTCGATGGACAAATGTAGGACCTCAGAGACAATGTGTGGTTGATTTTCATGCTGGTCAGACTCGGTAAATTGTTTAGATTATCAAAGTTTATATAGAAGAGTATTCTTAAGATAACTCTGTATTTGTGACTATTATACAGGCTGATCAAAAAGTGTGATAACTATCCTATTATCTAAAAAAAATCATAATTTCTTTAAGACTTATTAGACATTGCAATGGTATCACAACTTTTTGGTCACCTTGTATCTGCTGCAAAATACTGATATTTGAGATTATGTCACACAAAATGCTGAATATCTCACAAACATATAACAGACATCATAATCTTGTGTAATATAAACTTTATATTTACTCTGATCTCAACAGATTTCTTGTTGTTTTAACCTGTATATTCTAATTTTACTTATTTAAATAGTCCAGCAGTACACAAAGCATTGTAATTGCCAGGACAGTGGAATTGTCTTCAAAGACAAACATGATGGAGATAACAAGCAATCTATTCATCTTAGACTGTGAGAGCAGAGCTGGAAGCAAAGGTTTAAAATTAAAAAGTCTCAAGTGAGATTAGTGATAAGACGAACATTGTTTCATACAGAGGAGTTGATTTGTGAAACAGACTCACAACAAAGTAAGTTGTTAACTACTTAAAAAGGAATAGGAATCTGCCCTGGAATAGTATGAGAGGACCTTTTATGAAATACAGATGAAGAAGGCCAATTTGACCCATTTAATTTCATCCTTCCAGAACACCTACCTTTCTGTCTTTCTACTATAGAATCGAGCTACTTCTGAAATTAATTCAGCATCCTAACCTTTACCACCCTTCCTGGTTCTCCGTTCCAGCTGTTGATTTTTTTAATCCTTGCATTTGATATAGCACTTTTTTCACGTCGGGAGGATGTCCCAAAGCGCTTCACAGAACACACTGTAAAGTGAATTGACTGTATATTTGTGGGCGAACGCGGCAGCCAATTGCGCACAGCAATGTCCCACAAACAGTCGTAGATTGAAAATGACCAATTTATTATTGTTTTGGTTTTTGGAGGGATTATTATTAGGCGTGTGGAGTAAGGAAACTTGCCCAAGGTTTCGCCCTGCCTGGAATTGAACTCAGGTCTCTCGCTTGCAAAGCGAGTGCTCTAACCACTGAGCTACAGGACTCCAAATTTTTCTGTGTTTTTGTGTACTGCTGGACTATTTTTCTGTGTATAAGGAAATATTAAACCTGTATCCAGTTGTTCTACTGCCTTGACAAGTCTCAAAGTATTATGCTGGGTTTACTTTCTTAATTCTATTAAGCATTTTACATACTTGTAGAAAAATCATTCCTTTCAAAGTGTCTATCTTATCTAATGGTGCCTCATAACCCAACCCCTAACAGTGAGGATTAGCCATATTTTGCATTGCCTCTATGGCTTAAGTAACCTTATTTTGTGTCAAATAGAACTATATGTTGTATTCCATTTGCCATGTATTTCCATGGTCAGTACATTTGGACGTAGTGAAAAATGAATTTACTAACATCTCTAGATTGCTTTCACCTTTCACTTGGCAAGTTCTATCCCTTACATGTGCTTCCTATTTTTACTTCCTATATACAATATCCTGAATTTATTTGTGCATACTTAACTTCATTTGCTCAGGCAAGGCTAGGTTTGTACCCTGTTAATCTCTTTTTGTAAATCTTGGCTGCATCTTCTGATTCCACAGTCCGCCCTAAGTTGTTGTCATCTGCACTGAGTATGAATCAAGGTCAGTTTTGTGTAACAGGAACAGAAGGGGTTCTTAGATCATTGATACTGAAGAGCAACCTCTCAAGCTTAATTGTTCCCATTCCTTGGTCCATTTGAATCAAGGCTGAAAGGTGCAAGCAGAAGGAAAGCATATAGAAAATAAAAGGGGACAGTAACCTGGAATCATCCACTTGGTAATCCTCAAGAGTGACCCGATCACTTAATAATTAATCAATAACAGCAGTATGACATTTTGAAATGTAAATGTGATGGATGAAGGTATGATGCTTTCATCAGCAGAAAGCGATGTGACTCGAATAGGTAACTTGCAGTCCCGGCTAGCGAGTGAATGCATAGCCACAAAGGGAATTGGATAGCTACTTGAAGAGAAAATATTTGCAGGGCTACAGGGTAAGAGCGGGGAAGTAGGACTAGTTGGATAGATCTTTCAAAGAGCCGGTACTGGCCAATGGGAAAAATGTCCTCCTTCTGTGCTGTAAGATTCTATGATTCTATAAAGGCAGCAGGCCATCAAATAGTGTACCTAGCAGCTGGTAATTATTGCATTGCCCTGCAGATTCCTTTCAAGTCTTTTCTTTCCAGAAGAGATGAAAAAAAAACACAGAACATTTGAGAGATTCAAGGGGGGAAAAGCATTGGGACGTGGTGCTATCTGACAGTCTATGCAGGCTAAATGACAGAAGGATGACTTGTTTCCCTTAAACATGGCTGTTGCTGCAAAATGACTTTGTTTTACTCCTCCCCCTCTCCCTAGATCTATTGCTATTTCTACAGAACATCCGCTGATACTGAATCTGACAACGGACGGGTGCACGGGAACCGAGAATGAGGTTGACTCACTTGAGCACGTGCAGGTGAGAGAGCTGGCAACAAGCATGATTTCCAAGATATATCCAAAGTCCCAACAAATGAGGCAGGCGGCGGCTGGAACATCATTCGATGGAATTATTTTCTTTTAAAATATCTTTTGTTTTCATGGTTGAGTTACAAAGGATTAGAATTTTATAAAAAAGACACTGGGAAAATCAGAAGTCCTCATGTAGCTGTGAGAGGTTTCAGCACAACCTGAGAACCCATTAGTTTACCCTTTCCCTTCTCCCTATCCTCACAAAATGATGCCTGAGGGAGAACTGCAGAAAATAAATACAGCTATTAAAAGGGACAAATCTTTCTTTAAAATACAGTTCCTTTAACAAATGCATTTCTGCTATTTTAATTTTCCATGTTGGGTATCTGCACCGTCCACTACGCTTTACAATCAATCCTGTGAAGCGCCTTAAGACGTCCTCCTCAAGTGAAAGGCGCTTTATCAAATCCAAGGATGATTATTATTATTACTGAAACAAAGACAACAACTTCACTGAAGTAGGTTTTGTGAATCAGATTTTTCTTTAGGTATTTTAACTGAAGAAATGCGTAAAAACCAAAAACATTTCCTGAGATATATGAGGAATATTCTGAAACTCTTCTATCAATATGGAGAGTTTGTTGATAATATTTTTATATCATTGTCTAGAGTTTTTCTTGGTGTACTGGTCAGCGGTCTCACAAATAATAAATAAAATTGGTCGCTCACAACATGGCTGTTTCAAACATTGCTGCACGCAAATTGATTGTTGCATTCACTCACTAAATGCACACAGTCACATCACTTTACAAATCCTGTGAAGTACTTTGAGATGTCTCAAGGGCGTGGTAAGGTGTTATATCAAATGCAAGAATTATTATGTTTTGGCAGTGGTTACTGTGCTTGCTCCTCGCTGCTATTGCACAGTGACTTTAAAATATGGCAGCAAAATTCCCATTGCTAATCCATAAAATAACTGGCAGGCTGAGGAATATCAGGATCTGTGAGATCCAGATAGGACAGACTGGAAGATCCTTCCAGCAAATGTGTTTCTGTGCTGTAAGGCCTCTGCTTCTGGCCAGTAAGCTCCCTTTTATTCCGTTCCTCCTCAGATAACACAACGGCACCTAGAACTGTAGTGCAGGCCATTGTCTGATGTAAAATCCTCTGTACACTCTGCCAAAGCTGTGGCACTCTGCGCACAGTTTTAGAGTTTACACCTACTCAGACTATGATTTAATACCCCCATGCTTGGTAAGCCTCAGTGGCAGCAGAAAATCGTACAGTTCCCAACTTAATTGACTTCCAGCATCAATTCAGTGGCTTAATTGCTTTTTCAACATTGGGGTCAATTTTGCGGCACATTCGATATTTATCATTTCAAACGTGCCCGAGGCAAACTTTCCCCCCCATCCCCCCTTTTCTAACACGTACTTAGCGACGACATCTGTGAAGCTGGGACCAAAGCAGGTTAGCGCAATACCAGTTACTCCATTTGTTTAGTAAAACCCACTAGTCCAGTTTCATAGGCTTTGCTTTATGGATTTTGCTATTGAGAATGGTGTTGAAGGATCCATCTCCAATACATTTGATGTGATAAATATCAAATACCCCTAAGCTGCCCCCCCATTCCCCATCAGTCACATAAACCACAAACAGAAATTTGCAGCTTTTGTTTTAAACGCATAAAATGGTTTTATTATTGAAACAGGATATTACTCACTCTGCAGCATAACTACCAATAGGGGGAAATTACCCCTTTGGTACATTTATCTCTCTAAGTTTATAAGGGGAGGGGAAAGATGACCGAAAGCATGGTCAAAGAGGTATGTTTTGAAACGTGCTTTGGGAGAGGGATGGGATGGAGCAGTCAAAAGGACACTGGAATGGAGTTTCAGAGAGTGAGAGCAGAATGGCTGAATGTAAGTGAAAAATAGGACCGTTAAATTAAATCATTGGACTCAACTGGGTTGTTAAGAGCTGGGCAATAACTACATTTAATGTGTTGTAACCCAAGAAATGTTACAGGACTTATTTAAGATCTTCATCTTAAGTGGGCAGATACTTGGCCACGTTTTGCTTGTCTTTGCTTTCCAGTTTAACTAACAGAACTTTGTAGGCAGGTGGTAACTGACAAAGACTAAAATTTCTGATATATTCACAAAATCGGTTTGGATAATAATAATCCTTGTACTTGATATAGCACCTTATCACTTCTTCTAGATGTCTCAAAATGCTTCACAGAATATACTGTAAAGTGACTTGACTGTATATTTTGTGGGTGAAACGTGGCAGCCAATTGCGCACAGCAGTGTCCCACAAACAGTTGTGGATTGAGTGACCAAATCATTATTCATTTACTTTTTTGAAGGGATTATTATCCTCAGAAAAGCGATCCGCCAATCGACTATCAACCAGGTTCCTACTTACTGCTAGGTAAACAGAGGCCTGTGGAGTAAGGAAACTTGCCCAATGTTTCACCCTCCCAAGAATCGAACCCAGCTTCTCTCGCTTGCGATGCGAGTGCTCTAACCACTGAGCTGCAGGACTCCACAATGTTGAAGGCCCTTTAGCCCATTGGATCTCATCCTTCCTGAATATCAACCCTATCATCCTCCCATTACATCATCAGGCTGTTTCTTAAATCAGTTCAGTCTCCTGGCCTCTACCACCCACCCTGGTAACTGATTGGTGTCTGCCCTAAACATTGCCTTTCAAAACCTGAACCTATGTCCACTTGTCCTGTTTCCTTGGCAACAATGTTCAGGGTGTGCCAAGCTGACATATATCAACAATCTGAGGGAATGCTGGAACCTTATAAATGCTTTTTGGCATAGTAGATTGGAACATCCTTGTACTCCATGATACATTGACCCCTCTCACAAGTGAAAAATCCCATTTAGTCCCAACTGTTGGGTCTTTTCTTGGTTACAAATTTATGGGAAATGATGTTTCCACATGTGCAATATTGATTTTACTTTCACTCCACAGTAATATCTCCAGTAGAGGCTGTAGGACAAGCAATAATAGGTGCGCAATAATGGAACAATAAAGTGGTCTTGTTCAATGATGGCTTGGGTGACACCTCCATGGTTACAGGTCTGACTCTGACAAAGCTGGATTTAATGTTCGAGTCATATGTAAGGATGAATTTGTCACTGTTTTCAGCTGCATGCTTAATATAATGGTCCTACTGTTGCTAAAATGCAGGATAATTACATGTTGCTTGATGAACCACAATCATTTTGCTGGTGATAGAGACTGAGGATTGATATCAAGTGTCTGATGATGCAGGCAGCAGGCACTTATATTACTCCAAGGTTCCTATCAGCTGTACTATGACTACAGTGTATTCTATGAAGTCCTATTCTATACTCACAGTATTTTTATGGTAGAAAACCATGAGTGAATTTAATATTCTTCAAGAAGAATTTGGGATCACATTTGTAGTGCATGGAATAATTACACATTGAATAATAGTAATAATAAGTCTTGGATTTGGTGTAGAGTCTATAATGTTGACCGTCTCAAAGCGCTTCACAGAAAATTGCTGTAAGTGTACTAATTGTGTATTTTTTAGTGAACACTGCAGTTAATTTACACACAGCAAGAACCATAAACAGCTATGAAGAGAATGACCAAATTATTTGGAGAATTGCTGGCCAGGACATCAGGAGAAACTCTCTTCTCTTTCAAATCGTGTTATGGGATCTTTAATATCCATCTGAACAACATAACATAACATAATATGTAGGAGCAGGAGTAGGCCATTCGGCCCTTCGAGCCTGCCCCGCCATTCAATCATGGCTGATCTTCTAATCTAACTCCAGCTAATAACCTAACCCTGCCTTATCCCCATATCCCTTAATCCCTTTTGCAATAAGAAATCTATCTGTCTCAGTCTTGAATATGTTCAAGGACTGAGCGTCAACAGCCCTTTGGAGTAGCAAGTTCCATACATTCACCACCCTTTGAGTGAAGAAGTTCTTCCTCAAGTCAGTGTGAAAGGGCTGGCCTCTGATTTTAAGGTTGTGACCCCTGGTTTTAGTTTCTCCAACCAGGGGAAACAATCTCCCACTATCTACTCTATCATGCCCTTTGATGATCTTATAGGTTTCTATAAGATCCCCTCTAATTCTTCTATATTCTAGAGAATATAGGCCCAAATTGGTCAGCCTATCCTCGTAACTCATCCCCTTCATCCCTGGTACTAACCTAGTAAATCTACACTGCACCCCCTCCAAGGCAAGTACATCCTTCCTTAAATAAGGAGACCAAAACTGCACACAGTATTCCAGGTGTGGTCTCACCAGGGCCCTATACAGTTGCAGCAAGACTTCCCTACTCTTATACTCTAATCCTTTCATAATGAATGCTAACATACCGTTCGCCTTCCTAATTGCTGCTGCACCTGCAGACTAACTTTCTGTGATTGGTGTACAAGGACACCCAAGTCCCTCTGGACGCTAACACATTCCAATCTCTCCCCTTCTAAAAAATAACCCGCTCTACTGTTTTTGCTACCTAGGTGGATGACTTCGCACTTCCCTACATTATACTTCATCTGCCACCTACCTGCCCAATCACCTAACCTATCTATGTCTCGCTGCATTTTTTAATGTCATCCTCTGTGTTGACACTTCCTCCTAGTTTTGTGTCATCCGCGAATTTAGATATATTAACTTCAATGTCCTCATCTAGATCGTTGATGTAGATGGTAAATAGCTGAGGCCCAAGGACTGATCCTTGTGGCACTCCACTAGTCACATCCCGCCAATCTGAAAAGGATCCGTTTATCCCTACTCTTTGTTTCCTACCCATTAACCATTCCCCAATCTACGTTAATATGTTTCCCCCAATTCCATGGGCCCTTATGTTTTGGACTAACCTTTTATGTGGCACCTTATCGAATGCCTTCTGGAAGTCCAAATAGACCACATCCACTGATTCACCCTTATCTAGTTTACTCAAAATATCCTCAAAAAACTCTATGAGATTTGTCAAACATGACTTCCCTTTTGTAAAGCCATGTTGACTTGGCCTAATTATATTCTGCTCCCCTAAATACCGCACTACCACATCCTTAATCAATGATTCTAAAATTTTTCCTATCACTGATATGAGACTAACTGGCCTATAGTTCCCCATCTTTTCCTTTCCACCTTTTTTAAATAGTGGTGTGACATTTGCGATCCTCCAATCCTGCTTCCACCCAAGCAGACGGGAATATTACCCAAAGGACCGTATGACTGATAATACAGCGCTCCCCCAGTACTGCACTTGAATGTTGATTTAGAGAAGACTATGAGTCCTCATCCCCAGGCTATCCTTAATTCTGCAGACAGTCTAAGAAGATTGGTCCACGGGTTAGACAACTAGCTTGTAGCCTTCTACTGCCAGTGAACAGGATATGTCAACTTTTTGGTAATAAAAATCCTTAAAAGAAGTATTCCATTAACTGGCAGTTCAAGGCACGTAACTGAACCAAGGTAAAATTTTGATGCCTTGTTGCGATAAATTTACATTACATTTAACCCACCAATGGGCATCAATTCAGTGTGAACTTCATAGTATAATAATGGCATAAGTAGACTGGCAACCACTGGAGCCAGTCATTTCTGTTTAACACAATAGCAGCTGGTAGTGCCATTCAGCTCCATGAACTCTGACCCTTTCAGGAATAAAAAAAACATGTGTGTCAGATTGGTTGTCACACCAGGCATTGCCTGGAATGGTGATCCAACACAGATATGGAGTAGAATATAGTATAATTGCTGCAAAATGCTAATCATTTAAACATGGTTTGTATGAGCATTTTACACATCTAGCAAATCCCCTTTCTGTTCAGTTGCTGTCAGCGTCAAGCAGACAGGCTTGCCACAGTTAGTACATGCTTTTATAGTGCTTATACATTTGCAGGTGACTGTCAGCCTGTCAAGCATCTGCCGTGGTGATCTGAGCATCTTTCTCACCTCTCCATATGGTACTGTTTCCCAACTACTTGGAATCCGTGAAGCAGATAACAGCAAAGAAGGACTAACAAACTGGACTTTCACAACTGTGCATTCCTGGGGAGAAGATCCAAAAGGCACCTGGAAACTTACTGTGAGTAACTTTAGTTTATGTTTAGGCATAGTTCGTATGAGAATTTTGTAATAATTATTAATAATAATCCTTTGTATCATTTGATATAGAATTTTTCACTCTGGCACTGTATTTAAATTTCACCCCCAAAGCTTTTTTATTTCTGCTGTCATCCAGGCAGACAATCTATTTTTTTGGGGGGGTCAACCGGGTGTCTGACACATGCGGAACCCCATCACGATGCTTAAGAGCATCCAAACCAAACGGAGAGTTCCGTGCATCCCATCTACACATTGAAATTCCAGAGATAGTTATTGGAATGGAATGCATACCCTCTCCCTACAGAGACGCATTCCTGCTCACCTGATTCCTGTATTAGGTGCAGGTTGGGAAGAACCAAGGCTTGGAGACCCCATAGTGTGCAGTGGGGTACCGCTGGAGTCGAACCAGCAAAAAATGCATGACTTGCCACGATAAAATAAATACAGGAAACAATCTTAATTTAGTTGTTTTCCTGATCTGTGGTGTTTTAAGCTCCAAAATAGAGTTCTAAATCTAAAGCATTCTCAGTACTTTAGTTTACCTTGATCAGTTAGTAACAACTGATCAAGATGGTTCAGGTGACAATAAGAAACTGTATCCAGTTCGCGATGTCACCTGAACCCTTTTCAATTGGATTAGAGCTTCGGAATCATTCCCACTTCCTCACTCTCTTTTCAACACTATATAATATATTGTTTACGTAAGGAAATTTATTCAGAGTTTTTATGTAATTCAGGCTCTCACTTGTTCTCAGCTAGTACCATGTCCTTGATGCGTATTGACTCCCAAGAGGGAACTGATCATGCCTTGTGACAAATGTAGTTGAGGAGTTTTATTTTATCCTCAGATTTAGAAGGTACTTCATACTCTGATGCACATCGATGCTGCCTAACTTTCCGAATTCACAGTCCTACCTTCCTGGGCACTAATCATGACAGCACTGCCAGCCTGGCTCATTGGCAGGACATGGAAGGGCAAACCACTCACTGGGGATAGGGAGTCATCCCACTCAGCTCCTGTTAACCCTGTAAGCCAAAGCCCTAACTGATTGGGTGGTCCAAGCTGGACAAGCAGCGGGAAAGTTTGCCATACAGCAATAACAACAGTTTTAGCTGGTTAGACTCAAGCAGCACCTCAACGTACACTCTGGAGTCCCCAAGCCTTCTCTCTTGCTAACCTGCATCTAATAGTCATGCTATTCCACTGTTAAGCGCTCTGAGACGCTGCTCTGCGTGCAGGGTGCTATATAAGTGCAAGTTGTGTTGTAATACATTCCGGAATTAGGTAAGGAGGAAGCGTCCCTCCAAGGAGAAAGTACACATTCTATTCCAACGATTTATCTCTGAAATGTCCATGGGTAGTGGGATGCATGGAATTTTCAGCAAAAAGCAGAAATGAAAGTTAAGTCAGAGAAGAAGCAGCGACTGAAATAATCATTTTACGCCAGGCAGATCGTGCCATTGTATTAGTACTGGGAACCTTGTTTGAAAGGCTATCTACAGCAAATCTTAGCAGAAGAAGAAAAAAATTGATTCAGATAAGAATGGAGAGAGATTCCATTCTCTTTGAATTGCAAGCTGTGTAGATACTCAAAGATAAGAGTATGCAGATCATGACAGAATGCCTGTGATAGAGTGTCCATGCTGTTAGTCATTGAGCAGCAGGTTCCCATTAGAACCACATCCAAATGTAAGTCACATGAGTATGGCTTACTCTCCCTATAGGAGAAGGGCAAAAATCATGTCTCATAGTCTATCAAATATGGTGCAGCAAATTGCTTTACTTGGAAGAATGCTCCATGTTAAGAAGTAATTTAGCCACACCATTACATCCTTATTATATGCCAGTGATTGTTCCATACAAAAAGTATCCTGCACCAGAACATTATATAAAATTGCTGTGTAACATAATGTTGTGTAATTAATGCAGTTTCAGCTGTTTAAGTGCCTTCCATTTGCGTTCCAGTGGTATAATGGGTAGCCAGCATTCTCATATTTTGTACTATTTCTGTATTCCTTATCACTCTCATAGTGTAGCTTGGCAATCTCCTCAGGCCGTCTGCTGGCTGACAGGCTCCCATACCAGTTGGAGGGATTTTGCTGGCAGGAAATGCATGTTTGCATGCAATGTCGACAAGTATATCAGACACTGGACTGGAAATCTCAGTCAGCCTTCTGACTGAGCATCAACAAGCCTCACCAAACACACATGGGTGAGAAGGAGACTAAACAAAACTGCTCGGATAGCAGAACTAGGGCCAGATCTAATACTGAAGGACACGTTCCTCCCCGACTCCCACACAACACCACCAACAACCTTCAAAGAATTGAATAATAATAAATAATAATCCTTGCATTTGAAATAGCGCCTTATCATGTCATTGAGGCGTCTCAAAGCACTTCACAGAATATATTGTATAGTAGATTGACTGTGTATTTTGTGAGCGAAACGCGGTTGTCAATTGCATACAGCTGTGGCCCGCAAATAGTCATGGATTGACCACATTTTTGGGGGAAGGATTTTGACCACCGGAAAGCAATTTGCCAATGGACTAATAACTGGGTTCCTACTTACTGCTAGGTAAACAGAGGCATGTGTAGTAAGGAAACTTACCTAAGGTTTCTGCCTGCCTGGGAATTGAACCTGGGTCCTCTTGCTTGCAAGGCGAGTGCGCTAACCACTACACTGTGGGACTCCACAATAGAAAGAGATGACAATACAATTCAACGCATACAAAATGTAAACAGGTTTTGTTTTACCAAGTTTAAATTAAGCAAATCTTCAAGTTCTGGCAAACATCAGGATTTGATTAAAAGAAAGTGTATTTCTCTTGCTGGTATGAGAATGGAAACTCATTAACATATGCTCACCAATGTAAGACAAAGCAACCTTGGACCTCAGTCCAGCACTTTCATAGATTTGCTTGAAGTTGATGGATCACATCATCAAATACTTGGGATTTGAAGTGAATCCTCATGTAGAGTATAAACACTAGACAGATTGGATGGGCCAAATGGCCTGTTTTTGAGCTGAACCATCTATGAAACTAATATCACAATCACAATACTAGTCCCACCTACAGGAAACAAGTGACATGACTACCGATCATAATAATAATGATATGTGCATTTCATACAACACTTTATCATGTTGGTAAAAAGTCTACAGCTTCAAAAGATTTACTGTAAAGTGTGGTAACTGTGTATTTGTAGGCAGAGGTGGCAGTCAATTTGCACACAGCATATATTGTTATGATGTCTATAACATCAAATGCAGAAAAAAGGGCAGTTACAGTGATGGTACTGTCCACTGAAGGACCAGGCCACCGTTAAGTTCTGACAGAGGGACACATGTGATATACTGACCTATCAGATGCTAATGTACTTGCTATCCATGTCCAGCACTTTATTTCAGATCACTATTATACTGGTCAGCGTTTGTGCTCTTTTATTTCGCTGGTATCGCATTCACCATTTAGCTGAGCACTGTTGTGTTTTGCCATTTTGTTTGTTTTGCCCTCGGCCGCTGTTTGTTTAAGGCATCAGTTCCCATGAGCACGGGAGGAAAACCATTTGATATTCCATCTCTTTTATACCTTACTATCAAATGGGGGGGGGGAACTGTTAATTTCCTATAAATAACTCAGTAATTAGTATTTAAATCCACTGTTTAGGAGTTTTGTCAAACAGGGGTAGCATTTGCATGCCTGTATGCTTGAGATGACAGTGCATGAAATAGATTAAGGAACCTAGAGAGATAATAACCTGGATGTTTACTTCCTCTCCCAGACTGTGCTTAACAGTACGTTCTTACACCAGAGCAGTCATTATCATTCCTCTATCTCCACAATGTATTATTAATCTTGGGAAACTGACCATTAGTGCTTCAGTGTGTCTGCAGGACATTAACACAGTCCCTGACTGAGGGAACATTATGGTCAGTAATTCAGTGATTTTGCAGAAAGAAAACCCGACTCTTTCTTTCGATATATATCAAACAAAATGAAAATCGAGGTGTATAGGACCTTAGGGGAACAATTGTAAAGCTCAGAATGGAAATATTATCCTACAGGATCTGATCTATTTCACAGAAGGTATCTCACATTTCATACTGTGTGAAATGATAACAAAGAAGTTTCTGAATTATTGTTTAAAGCTCAAAGCTCAATATTGTTCGGAGGTTGCTTTGCCAAAATGTCTAATCTAAAATATACTGAGGTTTAAATAACAAATCAAATTCCAAATTTTTCTCCCAATTTTTTTCCAGAAGTAACCTAGATGAAATATGCCCTTAGGGTTAATTCTATATTTTTAATAAGGAGAATACACAATATAATACAATTTACATAGCACCTTTCAAGTCAGGAAGACATCTCACAGACCTTTAGGATATTGGATGGGTACTGTGTGTATTAGCATTTCACAACCTCTTATTGAGGATGAAGAATTACAACAACAGCTTTGCATTATATTGCAGTATATTGCAGCAAATAATCCCTCCCACCTCTCTGCCTTCCCTCACCCCTACACCACCCCTCCCCCATGCTCGCGCCCCGACATCTGACTGTTCAGCACTTTGGGACGTCCTCCCGACGTGAAAGGCATTCTATAAATGTAATTTTGTTGTTGTTGTTGAGATGTCTTAAAGCACTTCACAGTATATACTGTAAAGAGTAGTGACTGTGTATTTCAGCTGGTGAAACTTGGCTGCCAATTGCATACAGCAGTATCCCACAAACAGACATGGATTGAGTGATCAATTTATTATCATTATTTTTTGGAAGGATTATTACCCCTGGAAAGCAATCCGCCAATCGACTAACAACTGGGTTTTCTATTCACTGCTAGGTAAACAGAGGCATGTGGAGTAGGCAAACTTACCTAAGGTTCCACCCCAGCCGGGAATCAAACCCAGGTCCTCTCGCTTGCGAGGCAAGCGCGCTAACCATTTTGCTACAGGAATCTACTAACTCAGCAAGCCTGGCCCCTAATGGGTAAGGCTGTCCTAGCTGGACAAGCAATGGGACATTTGCCAGACAGTGCTGTGCTTTAAATATTGTTTTCAATCCGCAATTTTAGCTGGTTAGACTCCAGCAGTACCCAAACACACCCTCCAGAGTCCCCTAGCGTTGATTATTGCCAACCTGTGTTTAATACTCAGGTAAGATTTAGGTAAACAAGGTGCATCCCTCTAAGGAGAGAGTGCACATGAGAATTTCCATATGGAGGAAATGCATAGAACTCTTAGTTCTGGTTTGGATACTTAAGCATGGTGATGGGTTTCTGTATGTGTTTATCTTCTGCACATATACTGATATCAGTTTCCCTTTGCATGATTTTATTGACCTTAGATTCTGATGATTAAGATGAAATGGTTGTTTTATGTGAGAAGAGGATGAATTTCTGCTTATTAAGGTATGGGATCTCGGTGTTGTCAAAAGAGTTTTCCCACAATTTGCACCAATGTCAGAATCATATGTTCCTGCTTCTGCAATTGCGTGGCTTAGATGCAAAGTAAAACTCCATTCACACTGCCCCAGGAGTGTTAACCTGAATCTCCGAAATATATTCCCCACTGCACCAGTGTGGCATTTCGATTTTCCATGTCAGACACCTTCCGCAGTTTCAGCTGTAAGAAATCCAATTCAACGATGTTTGGTATCATTTTTCAAAGAATGTTGTGCTTCTGGCTTGCAGCACTAGGAACCCACATCAGTCTGCTCAAATCAATTTCATATAGAACCTTTTGCAAAGCAGATGAGAGGTGACACTCATCCCATTAGTCAGTCCTGGATCTGAAGCTGGGTCCCAGAGGTGAAAAGGTCATGTTCTAACACACCACACCTTACCCAGTCCTATATTTTATACATTATTGAACCAGTTGCTGACTTGCCTTTTTTTTCAGGTGAAAGATGATTCCGTCTACACCTTTGGCTGCAGAAGACGCTATTCTGAAACTACAGCTGGATTTATCACCCAGTTTAAACTGACGTTATGGGGAACCTACAGGACAAAATTCCCCAAAAAAGAAAAACGTAAGTGAATGCTCAGAATGGAACTAAGCATTCCAAAAGGTAATGGAGCTGTGATATACAAAAGTGGTCAAAGAGCAGATACACCCATTATTGGCACAATATGTACAATATGAGTATCAGCATCACATTAATTGAGAGGACTAATAATAATAATAATAATAATAATCCTTGCATTTGATATAGCACTTTTCACATCGGGAGGACATCCCAAAGCGCTTCACAGAACACACTGTAAAGTGAATTGACTGTATATTTGTGGGCGAACGCGGCAGCCAATTGCGCACAGCAATGTCCCACAAACAGTCGTGGATTGAAAATGACCAATTTATTATTGTTTTTTGTTTTGGAGGGATTATTATTAGGCTCTGTGGGGAGTGAGGAAACTTGCCCAAGGTTTCGCACTGCCTGGAATTGAACTCAGGTCTCTCGCTTGCAAAGCGAGTGCTCAACCACTGAGCTACAGGACTCCAGTAACCATGCTGGAAAGGAATATTACTGTATAATAATGGTGAATCTCATGGTTCTCCATCAAAGTGTGGTAAACATTGAATGCCAATAACATATCCTTTAATCATTTGTCATGAGATGATAAATTATGAAGTGCTGTAGCATATTGGTTAGAGCACTCATCTCGCAAGCAAGAGGACCTGGGTTCGATTCCTGACCAGGCAAAATGTTAGGCAAGTTTCCTTAATCCACACACCTCTGTTTGTCAGATCTCTTTCTGGGGGTAATAATCCCTTGAAAAAATAATAACAATAATTTGGTCACTCAATCCTTAACTGTTTGTGGGACTTGCTGTGCGCAATTGGCTGCCAGATTTTGCCCACAAAATATACTTCACTTTATAGTATATACTGGGCAGCGCTTCGAGACATCGCAATGATGTGATAAGGTGCTATATCAAATGAAAGGATTATTATTATTGATGCGATGTGATGGTGAGTACATGTTCGGAAAATGTCCTTAAAATTCACTGAATCCCTCATAATGCACACGCAGCCGACCAAAATGAAATACACCAGACCTCAGCTCAAAAAGAAGCATTCCATTTCAGCACTGAATCACTGCTCCGACAGCCAGAACACGAGCAATCTCGATCAATAAAAACAAACCCTGGATGAAAGCATTCTTCCAAAAACAAAGTTGTTCACCCAGCCCCGTCATTCAGGATAAGTTTTAATCGTATTTTCTGTCCATGTGATGGATCACTGGTGATAATTATAACATCACATATCACATTCCCCCAACCATTTTATATCAATTATATTTTAATTATTAATAGTCTTTAATTCTCTAGCTGTGTGTGCCAGCCTGGCTCAGTTGGTAACACTCTTGCCTCTAGGTCAGAAGGTTGTGGGTCAAGTCCAATGTTGGGATTTGGAATCACATTGGCTGACACTCCATTAGCTGACAATGGAGGGCTGGAGATGTGTTGCATTGTCTGAGGTACCATCCTTCGGATGTATCATTAAACCGAGGTACCAACTGCCTGTTCAGGTGGATGTTAAAGATCCCAAGGCACTATTATGCCACTGACTATGCAAACATATACAGTACCTGAAATATAACACACTTGAAACTCCACCGTACAATGCAAAATGCAGAGAACAACAGCAATCAAGATACATGAAACTGCAATACATGATGTGATATTACCTTAGAACTGCAGTAGGCAATGCAAACTGCGTGGAACTGCAGCACATAATACGATATATTGAAATTCCAGAAGGCATTGTGGGATGCATGAAACTACAAAACATAATGCAAAATGCTTAAAATCATAGCGGGCAATGCAAAATGCATTGAACCTCAAAGCAAAATGATTGGAACCCTAGCAGGAAATGCAATCATTTCGCCCCTAAAATGTTTCAGGCATTGATGGCCCTGACTCCCTTTCAAACATTCCACTGCTGATTTCATTGATGTGATTCTTAGTGAGAGTTTATTTGTTTTTATGAAATCAGAAACAGAATGTTTTTTTCAAAGGCTAAATATAACCAACATGCAGACACTTACCCCAATGCCAGTGAGCAAATGGCCAGTTTTTTTTATTGTGGAAGTGTTACTGCCTGAAGAGATCAGAGAGAGCTTGTTCTCAGTCTGTTGCAGTAGTTCTGCTGTTTTCTAACTATTACATTGAACTGACACATATTGATACCTTAACAGTTTGTTTGTTTTTTTATTCTGCATGTAACAATAGTGAAATATAGCTTTGTGCTGAAATAGCTTTTGTACCTTTGGTGAACACGTAGGGAATCACACCAAGCAATTTAAACATCAGGCTTTTAACAAATTCCTATTTGCGGTGATAATAATAATAATCCTTGCATTTGATATAGCGCTTTTCACGCCTTCAAGACGTCTCAAAGTGCTTCACAGAATAGACTGTAAAGTGAATTGACCGTATATTTGTGAGCGAAACGCGGCAGCCAATTGCGCACAGCAGTGTCCCACAAACAGTCGTGGATTGAGTAACCAAATTATTATTGTTATTTTTTCTTGAGGGATTATTATCAGGCGTGTGGAGTAAGGAAAAACGTGCCCAAGGTTTCACCCTGCCGTGATGGAGGGAAACATCTAAGTTAAAGGCATTACCTAGGCTGAGCAGAATTGTAATAGTTACTATTCATTGTTTATTTCATTAAAACAGCTTTGCAGGGGAATTTGAAGGAAATGCACATTTTTTGAGTTTGATGCAGTAATTTTTACAGTTAATTAATAGTGATTATGGCTGAATCTATTGCTGTCTCACGATGTGGCTGAGACACTGCATTTTAAATCAATACAGTACTTCAACGCTCAGTGAAATAGGGTCAAGAAAGGCAGTATTGCAGTTATTTCTGTGGACATGATTGAGAAACACAACCTCGGGTGAGCGTAAAGTGAGGCAGAACAACACTTCATCCTAGAACAGCTGGGGTGTGTTTTTTTCAGTGCCTGCAGTGTTTGTTCCTTCTGGTAAGAGTCTTAGATTGTCAGTTTCTCGCCACTGCCTGAGGCACGTAACAGGTTTGTTACTCTTTATAATACTGAATTAATTTAAGGTTGTTTGCAAGGGTAGCACCAAGTGTGGAGATTGAATCAGTAATTGAGTATCAAGCTGGTTGATAGTAGTGTTCACACTCTTCAGATGGTTTCATTGCCCTTAAAAGAGCTATGACTGTCTTCAATGGGATTGCTTCCTCTGTAGTTCTCAATGGTTTGTCTCATTTAACACTCTACAGTTAAAATGCAAACAGGCAAAAACTCCAGAAGGCATGCTTCAAAAGTATTATTTTTCACTTAAATTATTCAGATATTTGTTTTCATTTAAAAAAAGTACAACTCAAGTTTGCCAGCCAGTCATTTTAATTTTTGAATTAAGGCAACCAAGGGGGCTCGGTGACCATTGGCTCAGGTGTCAGCCTGGCTCAGTGGTAGCTCTCTCACCTCTGGTAGGAGTTTCTTCCATTGTCCTGGCCAAAAATCCCCCAACTTTTTGTGGGACATTGCTATGCCCAAACTGGCTGCTGCGCTTTGTCCAGAAAATACAGTCAAAACCACTTCCTGTGAAGCACTTTCAGGCATCTAAATGACATGATAAGGTGCTATATCAAATGCAAGAATTATTATTATGTCATTATTATAAGCTTGGGCAAAGAGTTAGGTTTTTGAGCAGGATTTAAAAACAGACAGAGAAGGGGTGAGTTGGAGCAGCAGGAGTGTAATTGCTGAAGGCACAGCCACTAATGGTTATGCAGAAGAGGGAAAGATTACAGAAGTAGAGAATTGAAGGGAGGCGGTTTGTATCAGCTGAAGCTTATGACTGGTGAAATTAGGGAGACTGGTGAGGAGTTCATTTGAAAAATCAAGTCAGGAGGTAAAAAGGTATGAATGAGAGTTTGGGATATGCTTGATGTGAAAGATGGATGGAGTCAGGCAAAGTGGCGAAATGAAACAAAGCAGTTTGATCAGGGACCAAGTGTGAGGAAGGCAGGAAGATTGAACTGAACACCAAGGTTGCAAGCAAAAACGTAAGTCGCTGGGAACACTCAGCAGGTCAGGCAGCATCTATGGAGAAAGGAAAGTGAGTCAACGTTTCCGGTCGTGGACCCAAAACATTGACTCACTTTCCTTTCTCCATAGATGCTGCTGACTTGCTGAGTGTTCCCAGCGACTCCTGTTTTTGTTTCAGGTTTGCAGCATCTGCAGTATTTTGCGTTTTGTTTAAACCAAGGTTGCAAACTGGTTTGGTCAGCCAGAAATTTGGAGATGTTGGCAGGAACTGAGGGAAAAGGCTTTACGCCACGTTCAAGTTAAACTGCAAGCTCATCTGTGCTTGATGCGGACAGAACATCAGTAGATTGTAGTCAAAAGTAGATTTGGGTGTCATCCGCATACATGTGGAAGTTAAGCCAGTAATGGCAGATGATGTAACCAAAAGAGAGCATGTAGATAAGGAGAAGAAGTGTCCAAGGGACTGAGGATCCAGCTGTGAGATACTTGTAGATTATCGTGGGAGGGCAGGAGGAAAAGCCATTGGAAGAGACAAAGTAATAGCGGTCATCTAAGTTAGATTAGATCCAGGAGAATGTAGATATCATCATATCCTGCAATTATTCTGATTTTATTTAATAGAGTATATAAATGTATAGAGTGCAAACTGAAAATAACAATCAGTCATCTCAAATGATAAGGGATAGAAACATGTGAGTGTTGCCAGATCATGATACTTTTTCCCCATGTCATAAGTGCTACACTTTGGGTTGAATCTTTGCTGATGTGTAAATTTCCTAATCATGACACACTCTTGTCCATTCGGTGAATGTACACAACAACAACAAATTATATTTGTATAGCGCCTTTCACATCAGGAAGGAGGATGTCCCAAAGCACTGAACACCACACCACAGACAGTAAAGTGCTCTCATACACCAAGTTCAGCAGATTCACTAAATAACAGTAAAATAGTCCCCCTTTATCTTCTGTAATTTCCTTCTGCTCTATTTCCTTTTTTTTTACATTTTCCTTTAGATACACAAGTACAGATATGTATGTATGAGGGAAAATATTGATCCAAGGTTAACTTTACATATTACCCAACATTTGTCTTGTTTAATTCCTGATTTTCTCTGCAACCTCTTATTTCCATTCTCCTTTATGCTGTGTTTTCTTCTGTTATAATTTCTCCTCCTCGTTCTCTTCAAAATATACCTTCAGCTTACTTGCTTCCTGCATGTTGTTTTCCCTCTCTTGCTCAGTTCCTAGTTTTCCCTCCTATCCTGCATCTTTTTTTCTCCCCCCTCCCGCCCAGTTGCTTTGGTGCATCTCTCTGCATTTCTCATCCATGTCTGCCTCAGGCTCTCACTTGCTCATGATATACTGTTGCAATATTTAATTTACTCCCTGCCCTGCACTGCCCTGCAGCAAATCCAGAGTTAACCAGTGATGTTGCCACAGTTTTTCTTTTCTTCAAGCACTGCTGCTCCAGCATTGCTGCTCAACCCTGCCATTAATTTTGGCAATGGCAACTTGATGTGTTTTTCTCTCTCCGGCGACACCATCATTTTAATGATGCTGATAGGCGACCGGGGTAATCCCAGAGAAATGATGAATTTCAAAAAATGCTTTCCATGTCTGCCCTTGTGATACAAATCCTGTAATATATAGATAGTGTGCCGCCAAATAGATGGGAGCGCTGATGCTAAATATGCAGGAGAGTTTTGCTCCGAGTTGGTCAATCACAGCAATACCAATTTTTCAACAGGATCTTTGTGCCTGGCTTATCTTAGTGCAGTAACACTGAGATGCTGCAGACATAAATTTGTGGGGATTATTTATTTCACTTAGCAGTTAAAATGAAAATATGTGTTGTAAGTTCACAGTTTAACACTTGAATTCTATGTTCCTGCACAGTGAAGCACTCTGGTGTCCTGTACAACCGATACAACCTGCAAGAAAGCCTCACAGAATTCATAGAAAACAGTCAAGTGAATTTAGAACTAGCTGAAGCATTTGTTTCTGAAAATATAAAGAGAGTAAATGAAGCTGATATTCCTTCAGTGAAAACAAAGAAAAAGGTAAAAGACATTTTATTACATCAGACCAATGATCAGGTTTTATTGAGATTTTATTTGTTTATAAAATATTGTGACATTCAATACACACATCTGTGGTCAATAATTCTGCCTTGTAAGTTAATTTCAACTAACAGAATGTTGAAGAGGAGAAGAGGGTTTGATGTACTGACACATTCTCTCACCTTCTGTACTTTCATTTCCTGTTTTATGACGTAAGGAGGAAATTATTTTTTTCAAACAACAACAACAAATGACATTTGTATAGTGGCTTTCAAATCCGGAGGTTGTCCCAGGCACTAGACAGTCAGGAATTTGGTCCCGAACTGGTGGTTGGGATCAGGAGGGGTGGATGGCAGGGAGGGTAGGGGTGACCAAAGGCGCGGTTGAAGAGGAGGGTCTTGAGATGTGCCTTGAAAGAGGCAGGTAGTGGGGCAGGGCAGAGGACTGTGGGATGGAGTTCCAGACGGTGAGGCAGAGAGACTGAAGGCCCGACTGCCGATGGTGGAGCGAGCCGGGGACATGGAGCAGACCAGAGCCTGCTGAGGGGAGCGAACGGACAATTCGAGATGGGGTTAGCAGATCACAGAGGTAGGAAGGAGCAAGCCATGGAAGGCTTTGCAGGTGAGGACAAGGATTTTGAACACTATCCTCTAGGGGATGCGGTGCCAGTAGATCCAGGCGAGGGTGGGGTTGATGGGGTCACGGAACCTGGTGAGGGAGAGGACATGAGTTGCAGAGTTCTGGATGATCTGCAGCTTGTGGAGGGAAGAGTTGGGAAGGCTGACAAGCAGGGAGCTGGCGTAGTCAAGCCTAAATGTAATAAACGTGTGGATGAGTGTTTTGGCGGCCTGAGGGGAGACACAGTGGTGGAGCTGGACAATGTTGCGGAGGTGGGGAAGGCACTGTGGGTCATGGCACCAATGTGGGGTAGAAAGGACAGTTGAGAGTCAAACAAGATGGCTCCAGACTGGCTCAGTGAGGTGGAAAGTCCTTACATGGATGCAAAGCAAAAACAATCCTTCTTTAAAAACATATACAAATGTTTGAAATCAGACAATACCGATAGAGAGCGTTTTCATGGAACATATTTCCTTTATTCCTTTATTTGAACCAGTGTATCTAACTCTAGCAAGTTAGTAAGATGTTAGCATTTGTTTTACTTGTGGGATTGTCACAAAACAGGATTTAGACTTAAATGTTTCTCTTTAGCAATTTAAGAGTGTGCAATTTTTTTGACAAATCTATAGTGTTGGGTATACAGTGTTGCCACTGGCTCTGTGTGGAGTACATGGTGCTAAAACTGTGTGGAGTGATGCTGTTATAGAGTGCATCAAACTGACAGGGGATGGTGGTGACATTGTGTGGAGTGCATGGTGTCAGCAGATTGCATTCCACACAGTATTAGCAGCATGCATTCCAGTATAGTGTCAGTTCATGCATTCCAGTACAGTGTCAGTGGCAGCTCTACCACCTCCAATGTCAGCACCAAGGATTCCAGGAAAGTTTCAGCACCGCACATTAATAATAATACTTCCATCTGATATAGAGCCTTATCAGGTCTTTGAGACATCTCAAAGAGCTTCACAGAATATACTGTTAATGGACAGTATTTTTTGTGGGCTAAGCATTTTTCACAGTATTAGGATCACACACTTCAGGAAAATGACATCATCTTGTACTCTAAATAGTGTCAGACCATGTACTCCACGCAGTGTTAGCATCATAGAAGGTTCTGCTTCAAGGGTTAGTTGAGGAAGGGCAGCAGGAGACTCATGTGGAGCATAAACAAGGCATAGACCAGTTGGGACGAATGGCCTGTTTCTGTGCTGTATATTCTAATGTATTCTAATATATACATACAACACAATGTTAGCATCATGTACTCCACACACTGTCAGACCATGCACTCCACACAGTTTCAGCACCATTCAATTAAGGACAGTGTCAGCATCATGCACTTCACGTAAGGTCAGCAGCATGCGCCCTGCACAGTTTCAGCACCATGAACTAAGGACAGTGTCAGCAGCATTGATCCACGGTGTTAGTTAGACTTGTGCACTCCAGAACAGTATCAGAACTATGCACTCTCAGACTAGATCAGCAACATGAACGATGTCAGAATAATTCACTCCAGACCAGTGTCTTAACCATGCATCCCACACAATGTTAGCAACATGCACAGGGCTATGTCAGCACCATGCATGACTAACAATTTCAGCACCATATAATCCACATAGTCTGAGCAGAATGCACTTCACATTGTGTCAGAATGATGCACTTCCCACCGTGTCAACAATAAACTGCAATACATTTTAGATTTATATAATGCCTTTCACAGTGCTAGATGGGCACCCACACTGTGGTGGGAGGAAAGTCTAGGAGAGTTGGGAGGAAAAGATAACAGAAAGCGCAGTCAAAGACGTGTGTTTTGTGACTTGCCTTGAAAGAAGAGAGGGTCGGAGTGAGGGAGGGCAGCACAGGCACGCCAAACAGTGTCAGTATCATGTACTCCAGACAGTGTCAACAACAATACACTGCAAGACAGATGTAGCACTCACTTTAATGTGCCTTAGCAACAGAAAAGCACCTCAGGCATTCGAACAGCCCTTCTGAGGGAGATTTACAGTTTACCTTATATTAGAGATAGTTATGCAATGTTGGTCCCATTGCCCCAAAATGTCCAAAATGCCTTGGGGTTCCTATCATGCAGAAAATGAACTTGAGTCCAGTTGATGGATAACACAAGGAGCTGGGTTCAAATCTGCTAAACTCATATTCATAAAGAGGAAGGAGATCTGCCTTCCACCAGCTCAGTTGAGATTTGAGACCATGATGAGCTCATGGCTGAAATGTCATTGTGATAATTAACTGGGATACTCAGAATCTAAATCATAATCTTTTGATCCAGCTTCTTAGAAGCTTTAAAGAACATCGATCTCCATTTTTCCTCCTAACACTGTCACAGACCATGGGTTTAGTTTTGTGACTATGCACAGTGCTTTTTGATGTTGCGTTCAGTATCACTGAAGTGATATTTCATAACACCAAACAAATATTACTGGGATAAGCTGCATGGAATCCTGACACATGTCTGCAATGTGGCACACTCGGGGAAGAGATGTTTTGCATCCAATAATTTCTCCCTTCTTTAGCAATATTACTGATTTTCCCAATAAACAAAACTCATGGATATAATTATTTTATAGGGAAAAAGACTGTCAATGCTTCATAAGGAAATTAAATAATTTATGGCATTTTGGTCATGCCAAACATGTGATGTGTTTAAGGGCCAACAGTTGCAATGGTGCTTCTGTTAATTCCCTTCCCTCCCCCCCATCTTGCTGCATCTTTGAAGGCGATGCAAAAATATGTACCCTTATAAATGGGGATGAAATAATGACACTTGTATTTACATTGTAAATTTAAAATCAGAAAAGGTGCTGGCTGCTGCAATAATAATACTTATATTTGAGATAAAGCCTTTCATGTAGGGATAATTTCACAAAGCACTCTCTCTCTCTCTCTGAGTCTTTAAAAGCCTCTTAAAAACCTGCCTCTTTGGTTGTGCCTGCAGTCAACTCCCTCCTCCCCACTTACCCACCCTACCAGATCCGCCATGATCTAATTAAATGGCAGAACACGCTCAAAGGGCTGAATGGCCTCCTCCTGTTCCTATGTTCCTACCATCTCAGTAAAGTGCTTCAAGCTGTTACCCTTGTATTTGACAAGGTTAATGCAATGCACAGTGATGATAAAAGTCTATCGAGCCCCTCTAACTCACCCAGTAAATGAGCTTCATGTATGGAATCCCCTCAGATCATTTATATCTCCTTGCTGCCTCTCTGCCAAGCAAGTGTTCTAGAAAATCTGGTGATCATAACACCATTGAAATCCTACTGTTGTTGTAGGACTAAGGGCTCAAATTCAATTAAAAAATCAACATTTTTAGTTTACAAGGGTAGGGACCATAAGGTTCTAGGTTTGAATCCCAATGGATCTGCTCTCCCCTTTACCCTTTTGAGGTCGGTAAAATGAATACTATGGCTCAAAATAAAATCTTCCTTGGGCAGGGAGGTAAACAGGGTCTCCCTGGGGCTGAACTAGCTCCAATGAGACACATCTGTCAAAGCTAGACAGGTCTGCTGTAATCTCAGGCACTTTTAATGGTTGTCCAGCCTGTCTGGCTCATCAATGATACTTGGAGGTGTAGACATATCCTAAACTCTTCCAGCCAAAGCCCTAAAGGATAGGGTGGTGCTAATTGAACAAGAACCATGAAACATACTGTATGGTTAACATTTCTCTCTCGTTGACACAGGCGTGCAACAGAACTTTGAATTCATATTTAGGGAAGAATCTTAGTGCATAACAGCAAAAAGCAAGATTCTCAGCTGATTTAACATTTACCTTAGCACTTTCCATTATAGGCTCCCTAGCAAGTTAAGAAGGTACATGCTTTCCTTTCTGTACCACATGAATATTCATATTCTTTTAATAATTACATTTTCTATAGATTGGGGGAATTTATGTTTGGCTCTTTGACATGAAATGCAAAGATATTCACACAGTTTTTCACCCTCTGTGAATAAGAAATCAAGGGATAACTTTAAAGTTGCCAGTGGGTTTAACAGATGGTGTGATATATTCACCAAAATTAAGAACATACCTTCAAGCACAGAACTTAAGTTATGTTTAGATCACTCATTGTATACATACAGCAATGCAAGTAGCAGGCTTCCATTCACTCACACATGTGGTTTGTTCCTTAACAGGCTTCTGTGAATAACTCCCCCAGCGCTTTAAGTTCAGAATTTGGAAAATATCTATTGCATCTCTGGTCTGCCTTCTGGAACTCAACTACAAGCGAATCGAATAGTGTAAGTGATAAACGTGAAGTGAAGGTAAGTTCTGTTAACATAACATAACATGTAGGAGCAGGACATTCGGCCCTTCGAGCCTGCCCCGCCATTCAATCATGGCTGATCTTCTAATCTAACTCCAGCTAATAACCTAACCCTGCCTTATCCTCATATCCCTTAATCCCTTTTGCAATAAGAAATCTATCTATCTTAGTCTTGAATATGTTCAAGGACTGAGCGTCAACAGCCCTTTGGGGTAGTGAGTTCCATACATTCACCACCCTTTGAGTGAAGAAGTTCTT